CGTAAGTAATTACACCATCTCATACTTGTTGTTAGGTAAAATATGAAAGGTTGAAAACATATGGCTATGCATGTGAAATAAAAGAATCAAATTCAAACTGAAAGTTGGAAAATAAGTGGTGCATTCAACATGTTCAAACTTGAAGTTGGTAGACTTTAAATTGGTTACAACTCTTTCTGTTTTCACATGGCAAACATTCACCTATATATATGCATGTATGTTTTGCATATTTGTGTGCAAAAACTTGAGAGAACATCAAGTGTAGAGTGTCAAGCCAATTGTAATCTTGTGAGTTTTAACAAAATTCTCTAGTTGCAGCCCGTGGACGTAGGATTTGCACCGAATCCGAACCACGTAAAATCCTTGTGTTCTTCTTGCTTTATTTTCGTGAGTTTGTGTGTGTGTGATAGTGTGTTTCCGCTGCGTGTACCCTGTCCGGTTTCTAACAACTGGTATCAGAGCCAGATTAGCGAGGTTTGGAGGGTACAATCATTTTTTTTTCACGCACGAGTGTACCTGATTTGTATCTTGTTTGTCGTAATGGCTGAAGACAAGGTTGTAATCGAAAAGTTCAACGGTTCTGATTTTAACTGGTGGAAAATGCAATTAGAAGCATTGCTATGTCAGAAAGACTTGGACATGGTACTCGGAGACAAACCGGAGAAAATGGAAAAAGCTTTTGAAGATGCGTGGAACTCAAAGGACAAGAAAGCCAAGGCGGTTATTACATTGTCGTTGACGAAGAGCGTTGCTTTCAACATCATGAATGAAACCACGGCGCGTGGTATGATGGAGGCTCTGTCAAATATGTATGAGAAACCATCGGCGGCTAACAAGGTGTTCTTGATGAAGGAGTTGTTCACTACAAGGATGAATGAGGAAGGCTCAGTTACAGTTCACATTAACAATCTAAATTCAATTCTGTCCAGATTATCATCTGTGGGAATTAAATTTGATAATGAGACTCAAGCATCACTGCTACTAACTTCTCTACCTGATAGCTGGTCCGGAACAGTTACTGCTGTTACGAGTTCCGTGGGGACCAGTGGTATGACTTTTGAAGGGGTTAGAGATTTGGTTCTTGGCGAAGATATCAGACGCAAAAATCAAGGTGGATCTTCCTCTTCTGATTTATTAAATATCGGAAGAAGTAGAGGGAATAGCAGGAATAGTGGAAGCAGTGGGAGTCGGGGAAGAAGTTCATCTAGAACTAGGAAGAATGTGAAGTGCTGGAACTGCCAGGAGGTGGGACATGTTAAGAGTCAATGTCCAAAGAAAGAATTAAACATTGCCGGTGCTGAGAGTGTGTCTGAGGATGATGCATTGTTACTCAGTATGGAAAGTTCTGTAGACTCTTGGGTCATGGATTCAGGGGCTTCGTTTCACGCCATGGACAACGGGGAAACGATGGTGAATCTAAAAGAAGGAGATTTTGGAAAGGTACGGTTAGCAAATGACGAGATGCTTCAAGTAACGGGCATAGGAGATATTGATCTAGTTACTTCATTGGGAACTACATGGAGCCTGAAGATTGTCAGGGTTATTCCGGAGCTGAAGAAAAAATTGATTTATGTTGGTCAGCTGGATAAACAAGGACTGGAAGTAAGGTTTGGTGGTGGTAAATGGATGGTGGTCAATGGTAATTCGGTGATTGCTCAAGGTATGAAGCGTGGGTCATTGTATATGGTTGAGGTACCTGCTGAGGGAAGTATGACCATCCCGATTAAGCAAAACAAAATCTGGTTCGCTAAATCTACTGCTAAGAGAGTTCATTTTGCAAACATGAATTCTGGAGCCAAGGGGATGTTAGCTGAACGAGTCGGAAATTCTAAACCATTCAGGGGATTCTGTGACAGTGGGAGCACGGGGTGTGTTCCGGGTACAGTTACAAAGAGCCGTTGGGTTTTGAAGACTAAGACTGGAAAATTCTCTCTTGTTGGAAGTTTGCAAAGTTTGGAGAGTGTTAGTGGTCCTCGGTGTATCTCTGGATCTGGTGGAGTGTCCAAACCGGTTGAGACAGAGGATGAGTCGGTGGTGGGATTAGCCACGACTGAGTTGGAGCTAGTGGGAGCTTCAACTGGCCCTTCTAGTACTTGAAGATGAGGGGCGGCTGCAATTAGAGAAATGGGACTAAGTTTAGCTTGTTCTTAGGAACTGGAGGCTTGGAAGACTTGGTTGTTTTAAGATTACTGGAGTTGGATGACATAGACGGACCATGTTGTTCAAACTTTCAAGTGGGAGATTGTTAGGTAAAATATGAAAGGTTGAAAACATGTGGCTATGCATGTGAAATAAAAGAATCAAATTCAAACTGAAAGTTGGAAAATAAGTAGTGCATTAAACATGTTCAAACTTGAAGTTGGTAGACTTTAAATTGGTTACAACTCTTTCTGTTTTCACATGGAAAACATTCACCTATATATATGCATGTATGTTTTGCATATTTGTGTGCAAAAACTTGAGAGAACATCAAGTGTAGAGTGTCAAGCCAATTGTAATCTTGTGAGTTTTAACAAAATTCTCTAGTTGCAGCCCGTGGACGTAGGATTTGCACCGAATCCGAACCACGTAAAATCCTTGTGTTCTTCTTGCTTTAAGTTCAAAGCCTTTTAAGTGTATTTCATAAATAAGATATTTGTAATAATTATCTGATCGGTCCACTTGAAAAAGTTGCGAGATTTGTTTGAATATCGGGAATTGGTGTAAACCAAAAATCTTCACCATGGATTTTTAACTCTAGGCAGTCATACATTTTGTTAGACTATAATTACAATAGGTAACCCTACAATAATTTTTCAATATTTTCCACTCCTAATATCATTGTTTTCACTTCCGTATATTTCCCCTGCTTTTTTTTAAAAAAGAAAGAAAAAAAAATAATAATAATAACTAGAAAGGTTACCCCCGCTACGCGGGGGCCAGAAGCTTTCAATGTTGTTTCCGAATTGATAAATATGACAGACATAGAAAGTGCAAGGATGAAAAGTCCGGGCTTTGCCCCGGACAAAAAATGTAAAAGTTTTGACTGCAAGGACCAAAAGTGTGAAAATGGCTAAAGAATTAAAGGGGTAGGAATTAGCAACTTTTTAGAAAAGGGATCAAAGTTGTCAAACCGTAAAGTTTTGTGGCCAAACTTTAAATATTAAAAGGTTCCAAAAAAGTGTAAAAATATTGATTGCAAGGACCAAAAATGTCAAAATGGGTAAAGAATAATGAGCAAAGTTGTCAAAAAACATCTAAATTTAGTATTCCTAACTTCCAACAATAATACAGGGACCAATTCTGCCAAAAAAATGGGAAGTTGAATGAAACACAAACAAAAGGACATGAATAAATTAATTAAAGAAGTACAGGGACCGGATATGTAAATCAAGGGGCCAAAGCTGGACAAAGTATGCCAACTTTACTATTCCTTTCTTCCACAACTTTAATATATATATAATAATAAAACACAATTGACACCTTACCGGTCTCGATTTTCCAGTAAAAGGTTCAAGATTTTACCCCAAATCTTACCCATCGCTCGAGATTTCACAGCTTAGGGTTATGACTTTCAATCGATGGGTGGGGCCATTGTTGAAGGAGCCTGCTCCAGACAAGTTACCCAAATATAAAACATGTTTTTTAATGGATTGTTTTTAATAGTGACATTGAATCTTACATAAACATTCTGAACATGTTTATATGATATTTTCTTATAAATTATATGTATTCATCAAAGTCAAATTCAAACATACGTAGTACTTTGCATTGACAATAACAAAATTCTCCTATCCCATATTGAAGAGTCGATCATTATATAAGATTTTAATTGGTGTATGCAATTGGCAGCAGGATGAGTTCGGTTTGGCTTCTTTAAGTAAACCTGTTGCATGATTGACAACTGCTTGTTTTCATCATCCTTTCGTTTCATTGGTCACATAAGTTTACATTTTAGGCCCCTAGACATCATTTCCCCATTGTCCTCTCCAAATTTTAGACCAAATTATGCTGGTTTGACTTGGTTTATACTTTATATCTTAACAGGGATAGTAGGTTTTATATCTTAATCTATTCATACAGTTACATAAGTGTACCTGAAATGCTTTATATTCTTATGCATAAGTGTTCTTGAATGTCATGTGATTAAAGTCCTGGTAGAAAGGTATGTAATTAGTATAGTTTGAATTACAGGGGAAACTTAAAACTTAATTTAAAAACTTGGAACTGAAACTTTTATATGATAATCAATAGTAAGTTTTATGTTTATTAGAATGAATTTGGTTATGCATTAACCAACAAGGTTAACATAACTTTTAGTATTTTAAATTCTGATATGTAATTTTTGTACTTCAAGCCTCATTGTGCATAAAATAGGTACTGTATTAGAGTCTAGATCGGTTGTATCAAATAGTTACAAAGGTTATAAATACTTTCATATTAGGCAACTACCATTGCAGTTACCATAAGATCACATGACATGCCACATCTTTAGAACCAGGTGAACTTCATGCCTTGCCTGTTGAAAGCTGCACAAACTATTTTTATTTTTATTTTTTTATAGGTGAAATGTATTTAACATGTCAAAACAAATTTCCACAAATAAATGAGAATCACAGACTTATTTAATCCCTATAATTACAAAACATAGAAGATCATAATTTTTATGTTCATTTATGTTTCTTGACAAAATAATGGAACATATTCTAAAAATAAGTTTCATATATTTGTATTTTCTTTCTAAAATTCAACCAACCAATAAAAAGAAAAGATAAAAAAATTCAATGTCTAAACTTCAAAAATATGAAAGATAACTCAACTGACAGTTGTATTTTTTCAAAAGTCAACCAACCATTAAAATAAAAGAGATTTTTTTTTTCCAATTCTAAGCTTAAAAAGTATGGAATACCACTAAGCTGATGGTTGTATATTCTCTAAAAAGTCAACTAACCAACAAACAGGGAAGACCACTCAGTTGATAGTTATTTATATTTAGTTTGTTATATAGACAACAAATTCTATGTTTTTATATTTTAAGCCTATATAGGTTAGTGGA